ATGTTTTGATTATTTTGATTTATTATGTTCGGTTTATCGTTTGTCAAAATTTTGTGGGATTTTTTGCACAATTTTGATAATGCGATATTAATTTTAACGTTTAAACGCACAAACGTTTGAATGTTAATTTGATTGTAATTTAATTAAAAAACGGGCCCCTTAACCTACGTCACGTAGTCATGTGACACGTACTGAGGCTCATGGGAAATTTTCAACTTTTCCATACCTGTGTAAATCTACCTTGCAGTACTCCCTAGACATTCTATATTCTACGTAGAAAGTAGACATTTTGGATGGATCTTATTAGTTACTGGTAGTTCTTAAGCTTAATCCATCAAAATACAATGCTGTAACTAGCCCAACTGACCCATTATCTCAGTATTGCCAGTCTGGATCCAGTGGGCTGATTATTGAAGCTTTGGGCAGGGATACCTGGTTGACAAGACAAGACAAAAGGGTAATGGAGTTATTTGATTGGCGGGTGTAACAGCCCGGTCAATTAAGATCTGCCGCAAGTGCCAGCGTTTCTCTTCTTGGAGCAGAATAGTTGACTGGTTGTTGGCTACCAAGGATGAGGTGCCTAGCCAGTCAATTATTCAGCTTGATAGGGAACTTGTTTCATGAATCTCAGTTAATTGAATGTGATAACCCACTGGTCACGTCTCCACCGTCCCTGAGGACTCGTCTTGTCCACAGGCAGCCTAATTGTTGAAATTTTGTCTTTGACTGGTAGAATGTGAAATGGAACAAACAGCTTCTCCATGTAGAAGGGCGCTTACTCACAGGCCACCACCAATTTATAATTGCAGTCTTCATATTGTTGGTAGGTTTAAAAACATATTTAAACCCTCAAACTCACTACCATGTTGCCACATTATGCTGAACGCTAATGTTTTAAGAGCATTACTGAGCATACTTATAATCAGGCTCTTTTACACGTATAGGGATGCTATCACCCTCAATTCAATTTTGTCAATCTGTTTTTTTTTTGTAATCTGTCACCACAGAATTGGGGAACAGGAACTGTATAAGTCTAAAAAAGCCGTTTTTTTTTTTTAATATCACACGCTCTAAAGTGTTTAATCAAGTCTCTTTGCTCTGTGTTCGGATCAGGGTGACTTCATATGTACCAAGCCTGACCTGGTGGGCTGAGTTTTCTTGTCCTAGTCGTCTGCTGATATGAAATCAATCTATTGAAAGTGATCTGAAAGAACCTTCCATTTCACCAATGTATTCTTTCCTTGGCTTTCCAACTCGTTTCTTTTCAACAGCAACTAATTGTCCGCTTTCTTTCAACCATTTTCCGTAGCTGTCTTTTATCAGAGATTTGAGCTGGTCTGAAAATAATATAATCAGTACATGATTTACTGTGTGTATATCACATCAAAAACAGGAAAAAACAAGTGTACAATCCCTGGAATGACTTTTCGAACGAAGACAGGCCCTTTCATGTTTTCCATAGACACACACCAGGCACTACATCCTCACCTCAGTAGCAACGGCTATCAAATAGGGGGACAGGGGAGGGGCGGGGGAATAACTGTTAAAAACTTGTATACATTTTGAATAAACAACTTCTAAAAGAAAGGAAAAGTATGAACTCTGAAAAGGGGCGGAAAGGAAGGATCGAGCTCATTGTTTGACGTTTAATTTTAAACCATGACCATTTGTGTGCAATCTTCCTGAAATGAACAAGAAAAACCACTTAAAATGGCCCGAAACTGTATGTATCAAGGTGGAGAAATGGTGCTACGTTCTCACCATTTCGCGAGGAGAACCAAGTTGAGAATTTCCAAAAATTTCAGTTAGAGTCAAACAAATTTTAACTTTAACAGGTATCAGTACAAAATGAGAGGGGAGAATGTTCAGCTCAGGCAATTTGCATTGGAATATCAAGTTGAGGTCACGCCGAGAAAATAGCGTTTTAGGAGGTCTTTGTAGACCTCACTAGTAGATCACACTCGTCAGTAAACAACTTGTTCACGACAAGTGCTCACTTGACGAGTGCGATCTACTGATGAGGTCTAAAAAGACGCCTTGCTCGCTCGCTTGAATAGCGTTTTGGATTTCTCAGTCACTCGCTGAGAAAATGTTGGTTTGCTCACTATAAAACAGTACGACTGCATGGTGCAAATGTAACAACAAAAAACATTGTTTGTAACTAACTGCTATCGTAGGGTCTTTATATTTAAAATACTTTCTCTTTGTCAAGGCATTGCGCATTGGTAGAAAAATTATTTTAAATAGAGTGTTCAAAGTTCTCCTTGAAGTTTCAAGTCCTGAAAACACATGGAAAACATTTTCAATACCCCGCATAAATTTTTAACTGTCAGCCAGCATAAAAGGACTTCAGATCATGAGGGAGGCGAAAGTTTCCAATCCGACCAGCGTACGCGTTAATCATATATTAAAAAATCTCAGGGCCAGACCCTGGATATCGTTGGAGTGGACCTTCGGGATCATTTATTCGCACATGGTCAACTTCATGTCGCTTTGAGCAAGGCTAGAGAAATGAAAAATGTTTGTTTGGTCACTAAAACGGAAGAACTGCATAGCAACAACATAAAACATTGTTCAAGACGAACTGCTATCGTAGAAACCTGCATACATATAGGGTTTCCCAAAAGTACTACACTTTTTTTTTTGAGCGAACGGTAGCAGATATCTAAATGCGGTTTGTGCAGAGTTATTGTTCTAGTAAATACCGATAAAACAAGACCAATCTGAGCTCTCTAAGTCAAAAAATGACTAAGTTACAGTGTTTTGAAAATGACATGTCGAACTGACCCCTTCAGGATTTTTAGCATTTTTTTCCTGAAAAAAAAAAAAAACCGAAGAATTTAAGATCCAAGTGGTTTTATTAAATTAATTTTACAGAATCCTACCAAGATCACTAGCATTTACTCTTCTTCACTGGACGACTGGCCTTTAGTTTCTTTTTTAAAGTACCATCCTTCGACACTTTCCACACAGCGCCGCAACCGTTCTTCCCACTTCTGCAAACATGTTTTTTCGAAATCTTCTTTTCTGAGGTTGTTCAAGAAAGTTTCAACAGCTCTTTTTATTTCGTTGACGAATACTTAAACCTCTTGTCTCTTAAGCCCTTCTTCAACGGAGGGAACAACCAAAAGTCGCACGGACCGACTGCGCGAGATCCGGGCTGTAGGGGGGGGGTGCGGAAGACAGAGAATCCCGTGTTCATCCATACTCCATAGTGTACACTGTACTGGGCCGTGTGGGGGCGGGCGTTGTCGTGGTGCAGGAGCCATGTCTCCTTCATCTCTGGCCACTTCTTGGCAGTGTGCTCACGTAGTATCATCAGTATAGAGCTGTAGTACTCCTTAGTAATTGTCTGTCCCAGAGGGACAAAATGTTGGTATATACCATCCCTCGACGATCAAAGAATGCAATAAACTAAAAATCCTGGAAGGGTCATCTCGACATGTCATTTTCCAAACACTGTAGCATTTTTTGACTTAGATCTCGGGTTGGTCTTGTTTTATCGGTATTTACTAGAACATTAACTCTGCGCAAACCGCAATTTGATACCTGCTACCGTTCGCCCGAAAAAAAACGTGCATTACTTTTGTGACACCCTATGTATTTAATACTTTCTCCGGCCGCCATTTTGAAATGGTTTGAGATATTAACTTCGGGTTTGCACTTTTGAACTAGGTATCACAAGGGCGGTCTTCCTATTTGAAAAAAAAGTTTGGATCGCCCCCCCCCCCCAAGGGGACCCCCTGAAAATTTTAGGAGGCCAAAAAGGAGCTCCTTTTGACCTAGAAACATACCCCAAGTTTCAAATCTTTACCTCAAGTAGGCGAAAAGTTAGAGAGGATGGAAGGGACTTGTGGATCACCCTGTGTATATGAGAGGATTATAATGTAGGTATGTATAAACATGAAACTTTACCGCTGAGTTGTCTTGTAGAAGGGGCCTCACCACCGTAGTCCTTCGGTAGTATGCTAAGAGAGAAAGTTTCTTTAAGCGTATCAACTGAAGTATGCAATTGTAACTAGAACAAGTAAAAAAATAAAAAGGTATATTTAATTATCTAGAAAGTGGTATCTAATATCTTAAGTTTTGATCCTCGAAAGTAGATTTTGCTATGTGCGTTCATATTTCGTGGATACCTGCAGGATGCGCGTAATTTGAGCTGCTGGTGCCTAATTTAACCTTGATCAGGACATCTATGGACGTATTTATGTTAAACGGAACTAAGCGCCAAATGGAGTTCCTTTTGAGGATTTTAGAATCCCGGATAGCGCGCTCTGTCAAACGGAACCAAGCAAGCGGCATGGGAAAGCATTGCGAGCATAGGACGGAACGAGCATCGCGTTTCGCAACACCCGCCAATCCAAGCCCCCTCTCCCTTCCTCCTTTATGGCGCTTAGTTCCGTTTAATGGAAATACGTCAAAATGTGTGACGATACCTAAAAAATCCTCTGGTAAAGTCGATCAGCATGATATTATAATGTGAATTGGCCAATTCTCCTTCATAACACCAGTATCTACGATGTCATATCAGCATAATGCAAACATGCACTATCCTCCCGATATCATGCTGGCATCATAGTGATATCATACTTGTTTTCCCTGTCAGCAAGTTATCATACTGATTCAGCATGACATTATGCTGCCCAAGTAGCATTTTTCAATGGAAAAATTTATACATTTGAAGTTAAGTTGCGATTTTGTACGCTTTTTTGGGGATAAAATCGCTAGAAACATCAGCAGCTTAGCGATTAACCCTTAATCTTGCTGTAGTTTATCTTTGTAAAATCGCGTTCGTCAATATTAAAATTTTATCCCGATTTTTTGTTCGATAATATTGTGATTAATCGCCATCGATAAAATCGCGATTTTATTGCAAATCCGATGAAATCGCAATTTTTAAACGGATATTATTGCAATAAATCGACGTGACTTAAATCGCATTACATTCTTCGATCAAATCCCAACTTATCGCGATCACTGCTTTTTGGGTGATCGACTGTAGCAGGAAAGGTCCAAACATTAATTGATAGCTTCAAGACGTTATAGAGATTTTTATTAATGTTTTCAATCTTGCTATCCGCAGTAAAACCGGAAAATCGCAATTCCGAGACGTGGATAATTTTCACAATTTAACAGTAAGTTTATCGTGACGTGCCAGCCGTGAAAGGACCCGCCGCGCAATTCCCGTTAGGATTCAACTTCATACATCGATGGTCTAACTTCCAAACCTTGCACCCCGGTTTGCGAAGTTGCAGACTTCCTGGCATTCTTTACTCTGAGATAGGGAATGACTCAACCTCGGTTCTTCAAAACTTCCATGATTTTCACCTTTGTGCGAAGAAAATTCTGTCAACCTCAAGGAATATATGTTTATTGCTTTCTTCTCCTTCAAAAAAAATGAAATAGGAGCGGAGACTTTCAAACAACGCAAACGAAGTACGTACGCTGGGAGTTACACCGTTGATATGAAGAAGATAAATACAAGATGCACGCTCATGATACAGAATGACCTTTTTTGCCATCGTTCCTTCGTATGGAAGCTACTAAATATTTTTGTTTGGTTGTTTCTCTCTCCAAGACAAAACCCTCTCGTAGACAACTCTACTTCAACAAAAGTGAATACTTAGATACCTTTCAGTCACGGGTAAAAATCGAAAATTATCTAATTTTTGGTGAGANGGGGGGGGGGGGGGGTTTATTGGTGAGGGACTCGCTAAGGGAACTTACCATCTGGATCAAATCACTTTCCATGAAAGGTTTTACTAATGCTAAAATCTTATCAATCAAAGGTGCTGTATTTATCACTTGGACGGACTTCAGTCTAACTGGATGACATTTCTGAAAGGAAAAAGTAAAAAATATTTTGACAAGCTCAAAAAAATTATGAAATTGGTTTCAAGATGTTTCAAGCTAGCGAAATAAGTGTACAAGATGACTTTACTTTATAGCGACGTATTTCAATCATGACGTTTCAAAACTTCCGTTCTTCTAGTTTATCAGGAAGAAGAATAAAAATAAACTAAGTAAGGGGCTTATAATTCTGACCAAAATAAGAGCGGAAATTTTTAAACGTTGTAATTGAGATGCATAGTTTATACTAAGTTGACTGACCGTAAGTTGTCTAACAAAGAAGGAACGCAGGGGCCGTCCATATATTGTACGTCACCCATTTTTGTCAATTTTTCTAACCCCTCCTCCTTTACCGTATCCAACAACCGTCATCCACTGCTAGACCCCCCTCCCCCTAAAAATTGCCCCATCTTTAGCGTACCCCCACCCCCTTTCGGGGAAAACTCAGAAAATCGATAAATATCAGTAGATATAGTCAAATTTCAAGCAAGTATTTTCAGCCTTTTATAGGAAAGCTTACGACATCCTTGGCTTGACCCCTTCCTCCGTCCTAGGCGCCTACCGTCATCCACCGCTAGACTCCCCCGCCCCCCTTCCCTTACTCGAGTGACGCAATTTATGGATAGTCACATTTCCGAAAAAAATTAAGCAGGATCAGTGATTTTAAGCTGAAGAAGTAGGTATGTAGCATTCTCCTACCAAAAAATTAAAGCCCTCATATATACCTAACTTGCAGCATTTTAAATATGGATTCAATGAAATTAATTTTCACTGAGTGGTAGGGGAAAACTATAAATATATTTTTCCCCAGTAGATAAGTTATCATTTAGTATTACTTTTTGGTACCTTTATCCTGTTCCTCGAACACCGTAACCATTAGAATGTCGTTGGAACAGCTAGAATTCGATTAAACGAGGAATGAGGGGGGGGGGGGATAAGACGCAAACGCCCTATTCTAAATTTGCGCAAAATACAAAGTAAAACGCACCATAAAAAAACTGCTCAGATGTAGTTTGAATGAAAGAATCTGAATTTACCGGTCGAAGTCAATGACCCGGGCTACGTTCGGTTTCTTTCAAAGAGTATCCCTGGGTAAGGGCACCAAAATGCCCCTCCTCACGGATTTTGCATTTAATGGTCTAAACCCTTTCAGGAGGTCCTAAAAACATGGTTTTGGGCAATTTTACCCTCCTGACCCCAACCACCCCCCTCTTCTAGCCCCGAAAAACCCATTTTTCGGGGAATTTTGGGGTATTTTCACGTTTTATTTCATATCTCCCGCAATTTTCAATAAAAATGCACCAAAATTTCACCAATTACACATCTGACCAGTCAAATTCTTGGGTAAAAAATCAAATTTATCGTACCTTATTTAGACCCTTAAAAAAATTTGTAAAAATCGTCAATTTCCAATTTTTTTCAGATTTTAGCGGTTTTAAAAAAAATGAGGACATACCAAGGACACATACATTTTGCCTTAAAATGTAGGTAATATACCCAGTTGTTACCAAAAAAAATTTCAAGCCTTCACGCGTGGCGCGTCCCACCGAAAAAATGGTTTTTTTTGGCGCCAAAACGGTTAAAATGGCTCTTTTGGCAACGGTTTACTCGCACGCTATCAAGATAGAAACACTAAGATCTCTAATTTTTGGTTTCAATGTTTCAAGAAGCATGCCCTAGTATCGTCAGAAAAGGCTTCAAGTCGATCGAGTCCTTGCGCCCCACGTAAAGTACCGGTTTTTGGCGCCAAAACTGGTCAACATTGCTATTTCAGAAGAGGTTACTCGCGTAGGGTGGCCCTTATTTTTGAATTTACGGAATTTAAAGTGCGGAACCTTGCAAATGGTTTCATTTGATGAGAAAATAACGGGGAAAAAACAAAAATTGCGAGAAAAAAAAAAATGTTTTAAAACGCGCCTCAAAGAGCCTAAAGTTCTGAGCGTGGCGTGCGAAGACGCGTTTTTTCGTCATTTCGCGAATTTTTTCCCTCCCCTAGAAATGTTCCTACGGTTTTGAAATTTTTAGAGGTTATACACTGTTTAAAGTACTTTACGAGAAAAATAATGCAATTTACATAGCTCAGTTTAAAATGCTCTTTTATCCCCAATAAAGAGGCCACGTCGAGTGATTTTGCCGATTTTCCCTCACAACCTCCCCGCACCTTTTTTCCACCTTTAAATTTTGGGGCATCTTGGTGCCCTTACCCAGGGATACCCTCTCTAACACGTACACAAGTACTTAATGATTACGCACCTGAATGTAGACCATGAACTTTTTCACAGCCTGTAACTGCACACTGACTCGGGCGAGGTGGCCAAAAGAGAGACCATTCATATCGAATACAACAATGTAGCCTTCGCTGATGCCTCTCTCAGAGATCACAACATCGTTCCAAGCGAAGAAAGTTTTTAGAGCCTCCACGAAGTTAAATTTTGAGGTATCAGTGTCTTTCAATCGATACAAAAGAACTTGGTAGCCTTCTTTCGTACTTTGGGGTAGCATTGCCATATCGCTGAAACAAGCATAATATTTAGTGATATCGGAAATGTCGAGGTTTTTTTTTTATTTTTATTTTTTTTATATCACTATTATATTGATTGTCAGATTTGGTGACCACAGACAATGTCTTTCAAATATATTTGACACCAAAGCGACATGTACGTCTTTCATCAATACCCGCACTCTGAAAGGAAATAACAACGCTGATCAGCGATTAGGTGCGTAACAAATTAAGATTCACACTTTAGAACTGCTTTATCCGCGCACGGTGTTTAATTAGCTTGACGAGTCCCGTAAATCGTTGCACCAAATTGCCGAACCTGCTCTTCCATACAGGGTTATCCAGAAGTCTGGGACCCCCCTTATAACTTTTGAACAAAAAATGCTAGAGATTTGAAATTTGGGGAATGTTCCTAGGTCAAAGGGAACTACTTTTTGGCGTACCCAAAATTTTGGGGGGCGCCCCCCCCCCTGAGGGGGGGCGGACCCTAACTTTTTTTTTTCAAATGGGAACCCCTATCTTGTGATACATCATTCGAAAGGGCTTAAAAAAAGAAAACTTTTGGCGCAAACCGATTGTCGATACCTCAATTTTTAACAAAATGGCGGCCAAAAAATGGCGGCTCATTCAAAAGTCTGGGCCTCCGCTCATAACTCATGAACAAAAAATGCTAGGGATTCGAAATTTGGGGAATATTCCTAGGTGAAAGGGAACTACTTTTTGGCGTACCCAAAATTTCGGGGGGCGACCCCCCTGACGGGGGGCGGACCCTAACCCTTTTTTTTCAAATAGGAACCCCTATCTTGTGATACATCATTCGAAAGGGCTTGAAAAAAGAAAACTTTTGGCGCAAACCGATTGTCGATACCTCAATTTTTAACAAAATGGCGGCCAAAAAATGGCGGCTCATTCAAAAGTCTGGGCCTCCGCTCATAACTCATGAACAAAAAATGCTAGGGATTCGAAATTTGGGGAATATTCCTAGGTGAAAGGGAACTACTTTTTGGCGTACCCAAAATTTCGGGGGGCGACCCCCCTGACGGGGGGCGGACCCTAACCCTTTTTTTTCAAATAGGAACCCCTATCTTGTGATACATCATTCGAAAGGGCTTGAAAAAAGAAAACTTTTGGCGCAAACCGATTGTCGATACCTCAATTTTTAACAAAATGGCGGCCAAAAAATGGCGGAAATGCGTTTTTTGGTTATTTACCGTCGGATTCGCTTGAAACTTGGTTTCCACAGGTTTTCGAGCACGAAAAAAACAACCAAACCACGGGGTGAGTCCTGGGTGGTTGAAATGACAAGTCAGGAAACACGATTTTCAACTGGCTGAGAGCACCGCACAGGAAATCTGACACATTCCGATTTAAACTTATTTTCCCGCCATTTTTCGGCCGCCATCTTGGAAAAGCTCGGGTATTTTGCAAATCCAATATCGTATTTGTTTTTTCGTGCTCGAAAACCTGTGGAAACCAAGTTTCAAGCGAATCCGACGGTAAATAACCAAAAAACGCATTTCCGCCATTTTTTGGCCGCCATTTTATTAAAAATTGAGGTATCGACAATCGGTTTGCGCCAAAAGTTTTCTTTTTTCAAGCCCTTTCGAATGATGTATCACAAGATAGGGGTTCCTATTTGAAAAAAAAGGGTTAGGGTCCGCCCCCCGTCAGGGGGGTCGCCCCCCGAAATTTTGGGTACGCCAAAAAGTAGTTCCCTTTCACCTAGGAATATTCCCCAAATTTCGAATCCCTAGCATTTTTTGTTCATGAGTTATGAGCGGAGGCCCAGACTTTTGAATGAGCCGCCATTTTTTGGCCGCCATTTTGTTAAAAATTGAGGTATCGACAATCGGTTTGCGCCAAAAGTTTTCTTTTTTTAAGCCCTTTCGAATGATGTATCACAAGATAGGGGTTCCCATTTGAAAAAAAAAAGTTAGGGTCCGCCCCCCCTCAGGGGGGGCGCCCCCCAAAATTTTGGGTACGCCAAAAAGTAGTTCCCTTTGACCTAGGAACATTCCCCAAATTTCAAATCTCTAGCATTTTTTGTTCAAAAGTTATAAGGGGGGTCCCAGACTTCTGGATAACCCTGTATGTAGTGCGCAGCAGGGGCGGACTGGTAGTCGAAAAGTTAGGAGGCGACCTAAATGTGGGGGCCCCTCCGTTCGTTCGGGGACCCTCTAAGAAGGTCAGGGGGCCCTCCCTCGGAAAATTCTGAAAATTTCACACTTTTTAAATGTAATTTTAAGCATTATTGGAGTTAAATTCTACAGTACTTGAACCTCAAAATAACCCATTCTCAGGATTCTTCGGGGGCCCCTTCATCACATAAGCTTTAGACGACCTTTCATGTCTCTTAGAGAAAAATTTTCAAGGATTTTGGGGCCTTTTAGTGACTGAAAAGGATAGGAAAATTACAACTCTACAGGGAAAAAAACAATGACTCGAAACAGATTCGCCGCGGGGGCCCCTTCGGGACCTCTGCGGCAAATTATTAGGGGGCGATCGCCTCCCCGCCCCCATGGCCAGTCCGCCCCTGGTGCGCAGTGCATCTAAAGACTTGTAAAATTAATTTCAATTGAAAAATTGCGTAGCTGAAATCGGAAAGTTTGTTTGAAAATTTTGCTAAGAATATAATCTGTTGATTTTAAGATTCTTTTGTTAGGTACATATATTTCCGTCGGAGCAACGGGACCTCCGGTTGTCTTCCAAAGAGATCCGATGAGGACATAATTGACGCGACTTCCGTGCAAGCGCTCCAGGATATTTTTCTCTGTCGGTACCTACAGGGTCAATATTTGAAAGTTTTCAGTGTTTTTGCCACGAGTGTTGTAGAATTAACCTCTCTAAGCTATGGCATGGTTGCACCATTTTTATTTCTTTATGTTATTTCTGTCTCTTTTTTTTCCATTTTCATATTTGTTTGTTTTATTTTTTCGTATCTTACTTTTTTATTTCATTTTTTCTTTTTCACATTTATAATTATTTTAATTTATTTTTTTAATTTTATTTTTTCTATCTCATATTTTATATATTTTTTATCTTCATTTTACAATTTTTTCATTTTTTATTTTATTTTCCATTGTATTTTTTTTCGTTATTTTTCTTTTATAATAAAGTTTGTTCTTGCTTGACTCCATCACAATTAATCTTCACGAGTCAACTATGACCCGTGAAAACGAATTACAAAATTTTGATTCGCGCAAATGATATGCATAGGATTTCACTTACTAGAGTTCAAGCTGCTCCAGAAGTTTATTAACGTCCCTATTGTCGAATAACTCTGGACACTGACCTCGAACGGTGAAGTAAGCATCGATATTGTCTTTTGCCCGCTCTGGACGGTAATAGTTGCAGTGTAAAAACGTGTATACAAATTCATCTGTAAGCAGGAATCGACAAATTATCTTCAAGAAGGTGATCGCATGCGGCATGTCAACATAAAAGCATTCAATAGAATTAACCGCGATAATCGCGGAGAATCTGATGGTTCACACGGCGTTCTTCCATAGCACGGCAGGATTGTCCGTTGTTCAAACGATCCGCTGAGGGACGGTTTCTTTTAGCATGGCCTTCGGTTCTTTTGAACCGAAGTTAAGTGAAAAAATGCGCTACTTATCATATTCCTTTCGAATGTTAAAGCAGTTTACAAATAATTTACTTTGAGCCATAAACAAAAAAAATCGGTCGAGCTCCCGGAAAATAAAGTTTATTTAAAGTGCCTCAGCCCTGAATTGTCTGGAAATGACTGATTCAGAAGCGGGGGCTAAATGGACTGCATTTTGCAATTTGGACCTATAAATTCCGGCCCGGTTTAAAAACAACGTATGTGCCATTAGTTTCCCTATGCACATAAGTGTTTTTTCAGATGAGCCAGAATTTATAGGTCCAAATTGCAAAATGCAGTCCAAATTTCGTCGGTCCTCCACAACCGGTGTACTCGTATACACTTAGGACGAGTCTCGACTGCACTTGAGTTCCGCTCAGCAGCTCTGATTGGCCAGGGGTGCGGTTTGGGCTCATCGACAGATGTTGCGCACCTCCGTGTAAAAAAGCCGACAAAATTAGGGCCCCAGATACCTCACCATCACAAATGGAAATTTAGTTCTTGAAGTTGCAAGATCAAAGGATGACAGAAAGAATTTTTTTGACCCCATCACCCTCCACCCAGCCGCCCTCCCCTACATATACAACTTGTACCCCACCAAAGCATCAAAAATCGATCATTATGTCTAGTGCCCAACTTAGCAAATACAACATGACACGAGTCTTCGAATTGGTTTACCTGACAGAGGAGGTATATGTGGCTGATGTTTCAGCCAGGCTTTAATACTTTCTACTTCAGGAACATATTCTGCGGGAATTGTGATATCCCTCTTTAAACAAGGATACTTGAGCTTCATTTTGAGCGTGCATACAGGTTGGTGTAAATGCTCTCAACTAAGCCTGAAACAAAGAAAAAGGTACAAGGTTTTTAACAGGAATTTTCAAATATTAGGAAAAGTGGATGGAACTTAAGCAAAATATTGAGTTATTTTCAAAAATTATATATTTAATGATTAAATTATAGGCGCATTTTTAATTTTAGCTTAAAATTGTCATTCTTACCGGGGTTCTCACACGACCTCCCCCCCCCCTTGAACTCATAACAGACAATGGCTGCAATCATTAAAAAATGATTGAACATTTGCTGATATTTGACAGGAAACCAGTCTTTACCCAAGTAGCATTTTTCAACGGAAAAATCGCGATTTTATCGCCGATAAAATCGCAATTATCCTCGATTTTATCGGCGATAAAATCGCTAGGATCATCAACGTCCAAGCGATTATCTTCAATCTTTTCGCGATTTTATTGCGATTTTATCGGCCCGAAAAAATTGCGATTTTATCGCGACGAGATCGAGGATATTCGCTCAGATGTTGATGATCCTAGCGATTTTATCACCGATAAAATCGCCAAAAAAAGGGGTTGACGTTGTTAGCCGATTGCCGTTAGGTTCAGCCGTCAGGTCCTTTGACGAAGACGAGCGTAAAATCCCCGGAGCCTATGCGGGGACTCGAACCCCAATCACTACGGCGAAGGGCCAGCACATTGCCACTATGCTATGGCCGCTATTTGATTAACGAGTGCGAATTGAAGCCTCTTATACATGGATCGGCGCTTCGCAGCCTTACAACTAATGTCTTTGCGTTGACTGACACCGAGTTTTCATTGGATTTTTTTTTTTTAATTTTCCCTCCTCTGTATTTTGTTTCATACCTTGAAATACGGTTGGTAAAATAAGGTTCTATTGGTAATCTCATCATTCTGTCTCTGTAAAATTACCAATAATAGTGAGATGGCAAAGTTACCGATGGACCTTGGTAAAAACGCCAATACTTTTTATCGACTGTGGTAGAATTACCGAGATAAAATGGTAAAGTTACCGGGAATTGATTACCAATAAAGGTGGTATTCTTACCTTAAAAAATCAGTAAAAATACCGGTTTTTAGGTAAGCTTACCATTTGTAACATTACCAATAATTGATAAAAAAAATATGAGATAGTTAAGTTACCAACGGAGCTTGGTAAAAGCGGCGGCGGTGGCATAGAAACATCTTTTGTATACGTCATTCATGCATTAGTGGACGTTGATGAATAATTGCAATTTATTGCAATTTTATCTCTATAAAATCGCGTTCGATAAAATCGCGATTTTATTGCAATTTTTCGCGATTTTTCTCCCGATAATATTGCGATAAATCGCCGTCGATATAATCGCGATTTTATTGCAATTTATCGCGATTTTATTGCAATTTATCGCGATTTTTTATCCGATAATATTGCAATAAATCGCGACGTCGATAAAATCGCGATACATTCTCCGATTAAATCGCAATTTATCGCGATCACTGCTACTGGGTATAGACCTCAATCTACCATGAAAAATTTCAGTTCTAAGTATTTCATGTTGAGTCATCGCATAGCCCCCCCTCCCCCCATTTCGTCCCCACCGTTAAAAGTGTAAAGAGGCATAATAGAGGGGTTTTGCTGAAATTCTGTAAGAAACCAGTCGCACTAGACCTCTAAAAAATATCAGCGCAAGAAGTTCAATTTTACTTGAGTAATCGCGTGTATGTACAAAATCTAACCTCCCGCTCATTCTGGCCCCTCTCGGTACACAAACTAATCAGCGTAATCGAACTATTTGTTTATTTATTTTTTCATTTAAAAGCACTTTTAAGGGACTACCGATCTTGAAAGTTTTGTCTCAATAAGTTCGAAATTGACTGGCACCTGAAGCTCTGAAAACTGAAATAATCTCAAGTTGCCTAAAACACGCTCGAGGTCGGTGTTCCTCACACGGTCCTGTCCATAGGTCCCACCCTGACGGATGCATAGTGGTTTCTTTATTGCTTGCCCTATGAGCATCAACAGCTCTTTTTAGCAATAGTGTAATTTTCTCGGAAAATACACAAAAAACAGCGTTTTAGAACGTGCCAAGTGCCGCTCAAAATCATACGTCATGGATTTAATTTTCTTCTTTTACTCGGATCATTTAAACCTTCATAAAAACTCTTTAAAAAAAGTGCTTTCTTTGAATTAGGAGGAAAACGGATTAAACAACCTAATTAGGCTTCGAATTTTTTTTTATGCCATTAAATAAATATTCTGAACAGAATTAAGTCGACACTCAAAATACTCCTCATTCATACCTCGTTTCTCGAGTTTTTATTGACACATTTGCTCACATGCCGGTTTTCCGCAGACTGTTTTAATTAGCACCAACTTAATGAAATATAAAATATTGACACAACATCTCGTAAAAACTCTGGACAAGCCTGAAAAACTTGCAAATATTCTTCTTCTGCATGGTTTAAAGTCTTTTTTCTTGTAAAATCCTGAATCTGGGCTAGCCACTGACATTTTCTTCGATGTAAATGCGCCTCTAATCATTTTGCTTGTATTATATAACAATCTCTACCGTGGTGAAAGGATTTTTACTGACCGACTTTGTAATTTGCTGAGGAATGTGATGACGATGTCGACTGATTTTCGCCCCTATTCAGAGGCGCGTATTCGATGTTTGCGTTTTCCTTGCCTTTTAATGGTTTGGTTGTCGGGAGATTTTCACAGTGAGTAAGAGTTATTAATGCTCAGAGCAAGCAACAAAGAAACCACTATGTATCCGAAACAGAACTGGATACAAATTAAAAAAGAATGCCGACTATATACAGCCGTCTGATCTGCAGCAGTCTTGAAGAGAGGAGGTCCGAAAGGGGGTCAAGAGTAGCCGAAAATGAAGGTCCACAAGTGAGCATTCCTCTTTCGCTATCATAAATCCGCCTTCATTCAAATTCACACCCACAGCTGCCAAGTTGCTCCCTTAGCGTAGTCCCTAATAGCGCAACTCAGGAATTATGCATATGTATAGTATATGTATTATATAGAACAGGCCATTTGATAGATACATATCTTATAGTTTACTCCATCATCATCGTCAATAATATTAACTTCGAAGGATTCCACTTTTCAGTCGATTCCACTTTTTTTCTATTTCACTCGAGAGTTTGCCAGATTATGCGATGAATGTGAATATTTTACATGGATTTGAACTGGGAAACGTGCTGAAAAAACAACTTATCTGGCAACAAGTCTGGGAGAGACGAAGGGCTGCCTTCCTGGGAAAACCCCTGATTTAGCCGGAAATGTCAATAAAACGGTTCCGTTTGAAACATCAAATATATACTAGGGAAAGCTATTTTAAAATAATAATTGCAAATGGACACAGATGCTACGATAAAGGAAAAAATGAAAGGCAAAGGCAATGAAATGAAGATATAATTACCTATGAAATGAGAGAGAATAAAAAAAAAAATCAAAGAAATTTATTTGCAATGAAAAGTCGAGGAGAATTTTTGAACGGGAAATGCAATTACAGTCTGTACTTTTATAGATTTTTACTCATAATACATATTGGAAATTCCAGAGGTCTCTGTGAAAACACAAGAAACATCGTAACCTCTAAGATGTTGACTATCTGCCTAGGCATTTGATAAAATGCGTGATTTGATTATTTGCCTTTATTAATTGAAAAGTTTAAAAAAAAAAAATCACTATCGTTTTCCGAACTTTGCCCAAAATTTGGGGACTTAAAAACGCAATGTTGAATTAATTTTGAACTTACCGAGATAATGTTGAGGTAAAATAAGGGGAAATTGGCTCATTTCGCGGGGAAATCGTATGACTTTTGAATTGTCGCATTTGGGGGTCCGATTCCCCCCTTAAAATTAGTTTGAAGTGATTTCTGTGATTTTTACTTAAAAGTGCTTACAGTTTGGTAAATTTTCCCGTTTTAGTTTTTCCTCTACGATAATTTAAACCGGAGTTATGATTTTTTGAAAATAGGTCAAATTTTATCCTTGACCTATCATAACTAGGTCAAAAATTAAGATATCGATCTGCGGTTCGCGCCAAAATTCTTAGTCTTTTATGTTCTTTCCAATGATGTATCACTAGATAGGGGTTACCATTTGAAAAACAAAGTTGAGGGCCCTCGCCCCCCCCCCCCCCCCCCNNGGGGGGGGGGGGGGGGGGGGGGGGGGGGGGGGGGGGGGGGGGGGGGGGGGGGGGGGGGGGGGGGGGGGGGGGGGGGGGGGGGGGGGGGGGGGGGGGGGGGTACGGACTTTTGGGACACCCTGTATTAATGATGATGATGATTTTGATTATACGTAAAGTATATCGGGAAACCTTTTCGTCATTTACTAAAATTCACGTGTAGTAAATGAATTCACAGTTCTAATACAATCATTTTATTTGACAACAACAAAAAAAAATAAATAAAATAAGGAGTTATGTCGTATGCAGGACGTGTGTGATTAGGGGTGACGCGTGGTCCGGGTGAGTGAAGCAAGCACTGCTTGCTCTAAGATTACGCAGATTTTACGATTCCAGAGAAGTGGTTTTTATGATTGTCTTAATGATTCAGAATACGCGGAAAATTGAAAAGCTTACGAAACACATCTTTGAAGAAAACGTTCTGAAAACTTTGAAAATCTGGGAATGTAGGCAAAGAGCCGGCCCCTTAGTGCTCACAAATAATAAATAAAGTCAAGGGAAATAATCAAGTTGGTAAAGCAAAGAAAAAATGTTTTTCCCTGAACCTGTATCAGATTTTATCCCCGACGAGACTGAAAAAAAAAAGTTTCAATCAAAATTAAATATTTGGCGGCGGGCTGTTCCTGAGTCTAATTCCATAAGCCCCACGCCCATTATGAGTATACGACGGTGGTCGCTACAGCTTGCTCTATCACCAAACCCTCTGCGTGCCTCTGTTTAGTGATAACTTACAGCAATAAGTACGTCGTATTGTAAATATAAGTAAAAAGTAAAACAAAATTTTCTTGACACACACTCTTGAATATCAGAAGATTGTGATGTGAATACTTCGTAAAAAGTAGCA